GGTGTTCTGCGTGTTCCATTCATTAGCTCTATGGAAGATCGTTGTCGGGCGTTTCGCACGCTGTGCGACGATTGCGCAATCGACGGGCCGAAATCGAAGAGGTAGCAGTGAAACTCCGTTTATCAGAATCTCGCTTCACTTGAGAACAATACGCGATTAAGATGGATTTTCTCGACGTGGGCCTTGACTCGCGAATTTACGATTCTTTTATTTCGTACTTTTAGATCTTTGATATCTTAAGTATTTGATCAAATTCCTTGTATATTTTAGACTTGCAAACTGCAATTCTTTTTTATAGAAATCGACATTTTCTCTCGTGCAACATTCTTGATGTTATCCTAAATTTATAGATCCCTGAAATCGCAATTGATCGTCGACTTTAAGTTCCATAGATTCGCGAGTGTTTAGGAATACTTATTTCATTTACGTATCTTCGGTATGACAGTGTCCTAAATTATACGGAAGTTTATGTTAGAAATTCTAGAAATTCTTCCGCGAAATAGAGCTCGTGGACACTCGGTAGCGTGAACCCTGTAGCTCCGTTATCGTAAGATTTCAGAGCGTCGGTCTCTCACAAATCCGCGAGACAGAGAACTCTTCGTTCCCAAGAATCCTCCTCGTTATCGCCTCGTTTTACTCTTGACAGTCTTCCCGAGGTGGCAAGATTAAACGCGCGACTAGTTGCGGCTCTAATCGACGATGTCGCTATATAATTCTTCGTTCAACTATATTATTCCGGACAGGTTTATCGCTCGAGCACTTGGTCGGAGGCATTCTGATAAACGGAGTCCCCCTACTCGTCCAGTCCGAGCGCTCGGGCGCAGCGACGTAGACCTCCACGACGTCGCGCTCATCCGGAGGATATCTCGTGGTCGCGACGAACGGAAATACACACATCCACACGCACACACGCATGCACGCATACACGCGCACATGACGCACACGCATCCACCCGCCCACGTAACCGCGCGCACGCAGGGCGCAGGAACGCACGGTATGCGAACTTGGTATATTTACGTTGACTCCTCCACGGGGCTGGTGCCTCGCGGCTCCACCAGGTCGTTCGACGGGCGGCTCGTGACGACGTTGGCGAACGTCGGCGACGGACTTCGGCGTCGTCGGCGAGCTGCGGCTACACGAGGAACGCCATTTTTGGACGTACCGCCGACGGTTGCCGCGCGTTGATGAGTGTTCGACGTGCGTGAGCTCACTGAACCGACATGGAGACCCCTTCCTCTCTCGTTCTCCGGCAGTTCTCTGATACAATCGCCCGTTGTGGGACCGCGGGGTCCGCGCGATTGTAATGGGAGCAGGACCGTAGCGGCGAACAACATGGCGCCGACGTCGCCTCGTCAAACGCTCGTAGCTGAAAATTTAATATTTCTTGTCACGCTAATTTCTTACTTGACTACAATTTTTCAAATCGCAAGAGCCATCGAGTTCGACGGTAACTAATTGCGCGCAATCGATGATCTCGCGAGCGATAAAGAAAGTCCGGAGTTTTTTTCAAAATTCTCTACAAAGTGTCGACTAATAATAAGTTCGTCGACTATTGACCAGGTTCTATTCTGCCAAGTTTCACGGACGTTCGTTTCATCGATTTTACAATTACGGAAGATGACATGGGAATAAATGTTACCGATCTATTTAAATCAAAATGAATGACTCTTTTTCCTGCACTCGCCGCACGAATACGTTTCTTTCGCCGGCGACTGTAGATTTTTTTTCTAGCTGTATGCACGCAATTTAGGTACCGCGAGTTTCGCACGATACTTTCCTGAGCTTCTAGGCGGCGGAAGCGAGCGAACGGTTCCGCGAGGTGGTGGCACCTGTCGGAACCGTAATCGTCTGTGCTGCATACGAACAGGCGAATTTCTCCGCACCTGAAAGGCGAACAACGTATTAATGAACGCCGGTGTTTAACTCGCACATATCATACCCTATCCGGTGCGTCTGTGACGTCAGAAATTCGAAGGAGTCTGCTTAGACCACGACAGCTTATCGATAACGATCATTTAATTGAATGAAGATTGACAACGTTCCAGCCAATTTCTACCTCGAGCGCGAGTGCTGATTTCTAATTAAATAAACGCATACTTTCACGAAGGAATGAATGTCTCCTTAATATTCCTCTCCTCGTTAAAGAAACGAAGAAATATTCTGACTTCAGACGCAGCTTTTCTCGCACCACTTCCCCCTCTTACACCCAGAAAAAAAGATTTATTTAAATGAAATTAATGAGACACGTTGCAATCACGTTTCTTTGACTCTACTAAATTTTTATTTACTTGTACCGAAACATTCGCTAGAAGAAATAGATCATTTCTTTGAAATTAAATGAAAGTCTAGTAAGGTGAAAATTTAAAGATTTGTTTCATTTCAAAGAAACTTTTTCTAGGTGTACGCATTCTCGCTAATTGCAAAGCGGGTGACAAACGGCAGGAATGTACAATGTAATATGAAAATACGAGCGAGAAGAACGCGCGGTGCCCCCTCCCCCTCCCCGAGTGGGTTTCGCGCGATGACGTAGCGGCGGCGGAGACTTCGATTCCAATTATGCGAATTAGGCGAGATCCCTCTCGATCGGGCGTTGATATCTCCGCGCGTACGAGCGCGCCGATCCAAAGGCTCAGCCCACCTGCCGCCGGCGCATTTCGAAACGCTCTCATTTATTCGCCTTTGTGCCGTGCACAGTGGCGGGACACAATGCATGGCATTAAATATTACAAAACGGCGATTCGTAGGAAATTACGATATTACGTTGCGATATCGTAATTGCGGTACTGCGACTGCGACTGCCGTTACATCCAACGCGAGTGCTCCACTGCATTGTAATATTTTTACACGCGTATGTGTACTTATGTTACGCATTATACATTACGCTGTTATATTTTAACATTACGTTACATATCGTGTTTACACACGGAGAGAATTTTCTCTTAAAATTTATCCTGAAAATCATGTAATCAGTTTTGACTTCTGAAAATCGTGTAATCGTGGGACAACATCGCGTTTCGAAGAATTTTGAGTTCTTTGAAATCTTACTGTACAGTTTACTAGTAATTATACTTACATTTTACTAGTAAACTTTACCATACATTAAAAAGGTAGTTTAAAAAAAAACTCCCATGAAGTTCTTCGAAATGCCATGCTGTCCCACGATTACATGATTTACAGAATACATTTTAAAAGAAAATTCGTGCACAAGTCTACAATATATCAGAAACTGAACCAATTAACTTCGTAAGACAAAGAGTAATGAAAACGGATGAAGATATGGATTGGTCACGTGCTTGGATATTATAGGAAATAGAATCGATCAGTTTTGACTTCTGAGAGCTTAACTCGTATGACATAAGTGTAATCTACGCGTTTAATTGTGACTTAATTAAATTACTACAAGTACAATCGTAAATGTTACAATGCAGTATTCAACAGCCACGTCATCGGTGAATCGACAGGGTACGTGCAGATAGATTGTGTACAAGCGTGCAACGTATAAATAGTTATGAGTAAACGTTGAGTAAATCTGGTACAAGGTTGCTAATGGCGAACTGCCAATAGTTTGCCACTGTCAGCTTCATATCGGATTACCGGCTTTTCTCGCCAAGTCAACAGATCTTTGTTGGAGATTGATCGCCGCTGAAAAAAGTCGGCGTTTCACGAATCGCAGTGCGAGGAAGCCCCGCTCTGAAATTAAGAAACAACGAGATACGACAAATATACATAGATATCGCGTCTGCTCTCGGTTTCGTACAAGGTGTTCGAGAGTTCGACGACCTACCATCGGTACAGCAGTGATCTTCCAACATCGATACATACTTTTGGCAGTCTAAAAGAGCTCTTGAATGAAGTGCGCGACTCACGGGTCATTTTAAAGATATAATACGCGCTCTCTCACAAACTCCGACTTTGAAGCAAAAGTATATGTCGACGTAGCTCGGACTTTGATAAGAGACCCCGAGTGAACCGCTCGTATAACTTTTAAATTCACGAGAATTTGTTCGACAAAGAGATACTTGAAAACAATTAATCTGCTGCGAAGAGAAAGAAGAAAACCCGAGTCCTGTCGAGCTTAAGACGCGACACGATATTTAAGGTTATCATGTTTCGAAGATTCATTCCATCTTTCTAGAACGTCAAACTAGCTGCCAGGCTAAGATCTCTGTTTAAAGTAATAAATAGAATATAACAGGGTTGGCAAGTAACTCGTTACTTGTAACGAAGTTACAGTTACTTTTTTTTTGTGACTCTAACTTAACTTCGTTACTTTCTCTCCATCTGTAACTTCACTCAGTTAAGGTGCATTTTCATGCTGACGCTTGACGCTCACTTCGAGCGTCAAACTGACTCTGGGGACTTCTTTTTAATTGTAGCGTCAAGTGGAAAAGCTAAAAAGATTTTAGCTTTCCTTGGCGTTAACAGCGTCAATTGTGCAATCTAAAAATATTGGCGAAGGAGAGTTTGCTTACTTCAATTACACGCTAAATAGAGCGTCTTGGCACTCAAATCGAGCGTCAACTCCAAGTCAGCGTCAAGCGTCCACTTAGCGCTACAATTCAAAAAAGTCCCCAAAGTAACTAGTTTGACGCTCAAAGTGAGCGTCAAGCGTCAGCATGAAAAGGCACCTTTACATTTTTCGATAACTAGTAATTTAATTAGTTACATCAATAGTTGCTTTATATATTTTCTAAACCTCTACAGATCGCATTAGGTCTTGCATTTGCACATAAACGCTTTTATCGACACTTTATAATTCAAATGCAGATTTGACATTTTTATTTTCATTGCAAGAAAGTAACTGCAAAGTAACGATTTGTTACTTTTTGAGTAACTGTAACTAGTTACAGTTTTAGGGAAAAAAACTGTAACTGTAACCACACTGAAAAGAAATCTGATAGATTCAACCAGTCGTCTGTTCGAAAATGGACGAATCGGAATTCCTTTAGGATTTACCATGAAAGATATTTCATAACCAGAAGTTTGCTAAGACTTCACTACACATCCGGTAAATCCTAAAGGAATTCTGTTTCGTCCATTTTCTAACAGACGACTGGTTGAATCTGTCAGATTTTCTCTTCAGTGTAGATACTTTTACAAAGTAACTTTCCCTGGAATATAATCAGATTACATTTCCAATAAGAAATGATTCGTCGATCGACGGGTCATTTCTCCTTGTGAAGGAATCGGAAGCTTCACATTTAACCCTTTCGTATCATCAGGATACACAAATCCTGATTGTGGGATCGAAAAAGACTCGACGATTTAGCATGCATTTACTGAAAACAAAAAAACAAAAAAAAACTCGACACGAAAGGATTAATTGATAGCGTCGAATAAAATTCGATAACAATCGTACGCTTTTCTTTTTGGGAAAAAACGCGTGACTGACGCGCAGCCTCGTGAATCCTGGCGATCCGACCGGGGTAACCTGGTCAATTCTCGACTCGCTACACCATATCGCGTCTATATACAGTTTGGCAGGGCGCCGGCGCCGCTTTCTATAAATAGCGGGTGCGACGCTGACCGGCGCTCGCGACGGTTAAAGTAGCGACGGCGACGGGGGAGGCGAGCGCGCGGGGGATGCGTGGCAGTGGTTACGGACGGCGAGCGTCGCGACGGCAGTAGTAACGGCTCGCTACTCGCGCGGCCGCTCTTCTCGGCTCCGCTCCGCTCCGCTGCGGCCGCAACGACGATCAATCGAGCCGGCGGGGAGGGGTGTTCGCGCGTGTCCTCGGGCTCCTCGGGTTTCCCCAAGGAAAGTACCACCCTCGTCTCGAAGATCCGAGAGAGCCCTCGCGCCCACCAGCTGGCTGCGAGTCGGAGAGCGAGGGGCGCACGGCGGCCCGTTCAGAGGCCGAAGGTCCGTGGATTCCGTCGTCGTGGAGGCTTCGGACGACTCGCCGGGAGCGTAACTCGTGGAAGGGATCGCGAGGATCTAGCGAGGACGCGCGAGGGCACCCCGGACTTGGCGGGGTTCGCTTCCGGCCGCAGCGAGAGGCGAGGGTCCATCGTGCGTCTCCTCCCCCGCGCTCGACTATGTGCCGGCGTCTCGCGGGAGCGATCGGGACACCGGGATCGTCGCCGTTGGTGCTCGACGTCGTCGCGACGACGGCACGCAGGACGTGAGGCCCGCTGAGACGCGTCAGCTGATTCGACGTGGTCTGCGAGGGACAAAGGAGGTGATTATGTAAAACGGCGCTCCGTGGAGGCGGCTCCGGTCGTCGTCGTCGTCGTCGTCGCTGTCCCGTCGACGACCGGTGAATTCTCTCCCCGGTGATGGAGAAACTAATTATATTCGCCTCGTGGGACGAGGTTACTAACCAGCCAACCCTCCGGCCTGCGCCTGCGTGCGCGACCAGGCGTTCTCCTCCGCGAGGGAATACAAACGGCGACACTTCGGGATATAATCGGCGGGACGAGGGAATCCGGAATCTTTCGTGTAAACAGACAGGCAGGGATGCCTGGACGTTTCTGCAACGTATTCCTGCCTGACCGTTTACAAACTGAACGTTTAGAAAAACGAGGGATCGCGATACCCAACGAGAAATGACTCGTCGATCGATATCGAAATTGAATCGACATCGATACCGTCAAACTGAGGTCGAATCGACATCCTTTCGATATCGATATTCAAATCATTTCTCCGGCCCGGTTTCACCAACGTTGTTTAACTTTAAGCCTAGCTTAATTCGTTCCTTGTCTCTTTCCGACTGTTACTTTAGAAAGAGACAAAGAACGAATTAAGCTAAGCTTAAAGTTAAATGAAACGTTGGTGAAACTGGACCTAAGAAAAAAAGCGAAACTGGAGACTCGAGACTTTAACATCTGGAAACTGCGCGCCGGAATTTGAGCGCGCGAAAGACTCTTTTAAAGTCCGATATGCAAAAGTTATTCGGACGTCGAGATCTTCGGTGATTAATGCTGTCCCAGTGAGAACGTCAACTTGACGATTCGACATCGTTTTCAACATCGATCGACGAGTCATTTCTCGCTGGGATAATTCTAAAGAAAATCGCAAGACTCGTAACTTGCTCTCGTAGCTCTGTACGTTCTGCGCAAACAGATTGAAAGTTTATTGTTCTCCTGTAAAATTGCTATTTTTGACTATTTGTGCCACTTTTCTCGCGCAGAGGCGATATATTCTTTTAAGGCCCGGTTTCACCGACGTCGCTTAACTTTAAGCTGCGCGCTGAAATTCCGGCACGCATAAATTTCGTCAGTGAAAATTTTCACTTTTCATGAATTCACCGCTAGAAGAAAAGATCCATAATTGACCCCTTCAACTCGTTAATGAAATTTTTCACCCTTGACGAGTTCACGCTGGAGGAAAAGATCGAGCCGATTGCTTTTCTGTCTCGCAGATCCACAATGGCTCTAGTAATGCTGCCGTGCGACCTGCCTTGGTGGCCGGCCGTCGTCAAGCAGCTGGACAAGGCCGCCACGGCCAAGAGCTCCGAGGACCTGATAGACGCGATGCAACGACTGCATGACATGTGCAAGTACGACTCGCGTTACCCTACTCTTTCGCCAAGGTTGCCTGACGCAAGCCGTCTAGTCTTACGTTTAACGTATTTGCTTGCCCAAGTTAAATTGCACCCTAGAGTAAACGCGACGCACGTGAGACGAAAAGATGGATAAACAATCGATTGCATTGTATTTACGCAATAAATAACCAAGTTCCGATTGCCTTTACGACCGCGTTTGAACGCGCTGTGCATTCGTCTCGTTTAGCATAAGCCTCGATCCCGAGGAGGACGCGCAGGACGCCGACCTATTCTCCATGTTGGGAACCTTCCTAGACAACGATCTCGATCTCGCGGAACGGGAGCAAGTGTTCACGAAGACAATACCGCGGATGGTTGAGAAGGCGAAGGCGTTGAAGTCTACGAAACCCCCGCAAGGTTTACACTTCAGTCTCCAGCAGCAAGGTATCGCGCGAGCCGACATTCCTCGAGATATCGCGACGATGTAAAACACCTCGCCGTCTAGCAAACCGGGAGTTTTGTACGATTCTAAGCTCTCGCGTCTGTGCACCTCGATGACTCGAAAATCAATTCGTTGTACGCAGGTGACAGCGTCGAGTACAGCTACGCCTTCGTCTCCTCTTTAATCGCGAATGCGTTCTTCTCGACGTACCCGAAGAGAACCTCGAAGACCCACCCCACGTTGCGCGATTTCAACTTTACCAACTTCTTCAGACACCTCCACAAGTGAGTGACTACTCCCGAGCGGATCAGATCGTCGAGGAGAGATCCGTCGGTCCGCTTTACGTTTAAGCGAAGGAGAGAAGACGCGATGGATTTTCTAAGTACTTTGTCGTTTTCCAGAAACGCACAGAAAGCCAAACTCAGAAGCATCTTTCATTACTATAATTATCTCGAGACGGAGCATGCGCTCGACGGACGTCTAATAATCTCTAGACAGGTAAGTTGCGCGACGCGCGATTGAGTAGACTTTCTCCGAGTCCTTATTTCATTCTGAATTTGTTAATTATCTCTCCTTTGCTTTAACAAGGCGCAAAGTGCAAAACCTTTAACACGATTATCGCAGGTAATGACGTCTAAGCAGTGGTTGACTATCGAAGATTGGCTGGAAAGCAACGTACCTCTATGCCCGCTGACGATACGTCACGAGGGACGATTGGAAAGAGTCGAGTCGGAATCAAAAGTACTGCAAGTTTGTTTCGCGAATGCTAAAATTGGCGGCGGCGTGCTCGATGGCGATCTCACGCAGGAGACTGTGCATGTAACTAGTCACGATTATCCCTTTACGTCAACAAGATTTTCAATTATACACATGTCAATACTTGAGACTGAATCTAGAGTTCAGAGGAAAAGATGTCACACGGACGTTCAGGGCAGATTACCGAAGAGTGTTTCGTTCAGTCAATTCAAAATAAAGCCCAAACTTCTTCATACAATGTTAAAAATTAATAAAGATAACTTGGCCCAAGCTCTAGCATCGTGGACATAGGCCTTTACAGATGTCGAGGAATTAATTGAGAGAAATTATAATCTTCTACCTGTCTTGGAATTATTTTCCTTGACTAAGTTCCAGATTTGCTCTAATATATTGACATATACATGCCGTGTACATGCATCTAGCTGAAATAGATTGCAAGTTTGAATCTTCTTGCAGGTGGCAACGCACCCGGAGATGCTCGCCGCGATACTGTCCGTCGAGGCCTTAGAAGACAACGAAGTACTGATAATCGAGGGCGTCAGGCATATGTCGAGGATAAACGATCCGCGGCACAAGGCGATATTCGAGGGTATCTCGAAGCCGAACGTGGTGAGTCAAGTGCGGGATCTCGGATTCGCGCTATCTGCGATGGGAAGGCAAACAATCGTACAGTTTTCCGAGCGCAGGTAACGGTCTGCTGCATAGATCCCGAGGACTATTCGCGATTGCCATTGACGCAGTTCGAGGAGGACAACATTTTGCGGGAGATGAACAAGTCGCTGCTGGGATTCCGTCAGCGATACGTGCCCAGCAGCCCCACGGATCCGATCAAGTTCGAACTGGAGGCGGAGGTTGGCCTGGGCTCGCGCAGATTGTCGCCGATCGGCGAGAGCTTTAGCAGCACCCCGCCGGAGACGGAGGGCGAGGATAAAGTTTTCGCGACGGGCAAGAATTCCAAGACAGGTGGGGGAGAAAGCGGTCGGTAATTCGCTCAAACCAGCCTTTTGGCATCTATGATCTCCGTTTTCTTCTTCGGACAGACAAGCAGGCCTCGTCGCGCGACGAGCACCACAGATTAGAGAACGCGACCGAAGTGCGAAGCAGGCCTAACGGTAAATCGATGAGACCACCTAGTCCTCTCAAGGTGTGCAAAGACGCGAGTTGCACGAACCGAAGGAACCGATTCATCGTGCTCGGATCCAGCGGCGAAGTTCTGCCGGTGACGCGACAGCTCGGCCAGATGTCGGTCTACAGTAGTTGTAATAGTCAGAGCACGGACAGTTTCCATAGCGCTAAGGAGACCATCGACGAGGAACCTGGTGCGCGCGCGATAAAATAACGATGATTCATAGAGAGGGAGAGAGGAATGTGCGTTTCTCTAATAATCGAACGATTTTCAGAGGAAGAAGAGCAGAAGGTGATCAAATGCTACAGCGCGCAGTTAGATACGCCCGAGAGAAGAGGAACTTTCGCGCAGCGACTGAAAGACGCTCTTAAGCGAGAGAGTACGGCGACGGGGGCGACTTCCTCAAACACCTCCTCCGGCGAGAGCAGTTACGCCGTTGGTATCAGTGTTAGTGGTAGCCACGTTGGCGATCAAGATATCAAGTAAGTCGACATTCATCAAGAGATTCATGAAGAATTCAGTGGGCAGAAAAATATTAATACACAAGACCTGCGATAGCTTAATGATAGGAAAGCTATCATCTCCGAGGTCCGGATAATATTTTTACTACGATAAATCAAAGATAATCAAATATATATAAAGTTTCTGTGATGGAAATGTCATTTTCTCGCGGTATCTAACGTTCTGAACTTCATCACGTCATTGTTCTGCCCCGTAAAATACAGATACATGTAATTATATAATTGTTACAATATTATAAAAATTATACTTGTTATGTATATTACATGTATTATACATAGATAATTGCATTCAATCTATTGCAGTTATTAATTTACTAGATTTAGATTTTACTCTTACCGGACATTGCAGGTTGAAAAGGGGAGGTTCGAGGGGTTTCGTTTTGCGGGACGAGACGGTGGACGAGGAGTTCCTGAAGGAGTCTTTAGAAGCGGAGCAAAAGTGGCTGGGCCGATTCCGGCAGAGTCAGGGGCCCATGTTCCAGAGGAAGGACACAAGCGCGAGCAGCAAGTATAGTTTTAGCACCGAGTACAATTCTGGCGAGTATCCGAAAAAGATCGCTTACGCACGACGTTCACTTTCGACGAGGATAAAACAATCTGAAAATCTAAACCTTCGGTGTGCGCAGATTTTTGTTCCGAGTTGGAGGAGGTCTATGAGCAATTGTCAAAGTGGCTGGAGGATCCGATAGTGGCGGACGAGAACCGGGAATTGGATGCGAGAGATCGGGCGGTTGTGCGCTTCGCCGGTTCCCTTCTGAAACGCGCCCTGAGCGAGTCGTTCGCAGGTGTGCCGGTCCAGGAGGGCGAACCGCAGCCGTTCATCGACGCAAACGACGTAAATCAGCAGCACAAGCTGGCCTTAGCCGTGAGGAGTCTCAGTTTGGAGCTCGCTCGGCAGAAAAATCGGAGACAGCAATCAGTAAGGAACAACATTCGATTAAACGTGTTACATCTGCAAAAGAGATAACTGAATTAGTAAAAAGTCCCGTGATAAAATTCATTACACAGAAATAATTACCAACGAATTCGCGAATTCTTTGGTTCATCGAAAGAAAGCGCTCAACGCCCACGATTTCGTCTCATTTCCGTTATAATAAATCCAAATTTAAGTGCTTTCTTTGGGGGAAGCAGAGAATAAATTTAATATGCTTTTTGTAGTCCCTTAATCCGAGTTAAACATACAGACACACTGTAATATCAAGGCATACAGATGTACCTTCAAACTTTGAGTGGTAAGATGGAATGAGAGACAGTTCAAGTTGATTTAATCGAGCGAAGCCAATGTAGAATAATCGGTAAATGAAGAGTTTCGAGTTTGGAGTACAGGCAGCCGGAATGCTATACAGGTGTCTGAGTCCGAAGGCGTAGATCGCTACGAGGACGCCTCGTGCGAGATGGTAAGAGAGGCGAGGGACGCCCAACGTAGGAAACTTTGGGCTGTCACGTTCACGTCGGAAGTGTTCCAAACGTTGGTCGATGATCATACGACCGTACGGCTGTCCACACCGCCCGCGACCGAGTCGGGGCAGACGGCAAACGAGCGTGAAACGCGCCAAGCGAGCACGCTCGGTGTCTCGGAGGTGATTCTGATGACTTGACCGCATCACGTGTATAATCGCAATGCATGAGACAGCAACTGTGTTCGACCCGTATTTAAAATCGCTTGGAGAAAGAGCACTTTCTGTGGCTTGGGACTCTTCGGCAAGATGTAACTCGTCGAGATGAGATCTGATATCTCGTGTCTTTGTTCTTTTTCTCTCTCTCTCTCTCTCTCTCTCTCTCTCTGTCTCCCGACTGGATGCATGACGCGCGAGCTGAGATAAGCATCGTCATCGTGTTCGCAAGATCCTTACAACTAATATATTTATCTGTCTCTCAGTCTATCCAATTCTACAATTCTTTACTCACACGTTTCTCGCTTCGTTCTATTCGTTATTAACCATATCGGGGTAAAAATACCGTCCATGTACATTCTGTTCTCTATCGTTATGGTAGAGGCAGAATGATTGTCCATGTGAACTAAAACGATAATAACCGTGTAGCTTTGTATGTTACGTGTATCTCTAGAAACCCGACGTCCGATAATCACGTTCCTACAGCGACAAGAATTTGAAAACTTTACTAATTACGTTTATCACATCAGGAGATAGACTGGCATACAAGGCGACAAAATAATTTATAATAGATTGCCTTTTATCGTGTGCGTAGTTGCCGCACGAACACAGTCCACAAGGAGGAGGCCTGTTGCCCGTGGCTACCGGCAACTGGGGATGCGGGACTAGACTGAAAGGCGATCCGCAATTGAAGCTCGTTGTTCAATGGCTCGCCTCCTCCCTGGCAGGCACACCAAGACTAATCTATTACACTTCCGGCAATCCCAGTCTATCCAAGGTGAAAAGAAGCAATACCAATTTATCGTTACCAACGCTTCACTGTTCCAACTGAGAAATTCGCGTTTCAGTTAGACACTGTGAGCCGAGTTCTGATGGACAGGCGTTGGTCGGTGGGCGATCTGGCCGCCGCGATGCTGAAGTACGCCATGCACGCGATCGAGGAACGGGTGGAAGGGAAGAACAGCCTCTTCGAGGAGATCATCGGCATGGACAAGTCGGGTCCTTAGCCCGATTCGATGCTGTCCGTTCTGGTAGATATGCTGGCTACCATGATCGAGGACAGCCTGCTGAAAAACTAATATATCACTATATACTCTTCCGCGGGAGGGACATACAAAAAGAAAAGAAATGAACGGGTATTTGACTGTAGTTAAACGCAAGGTAATTAGCTCTAACTCGTACAGGCCTAGTCTTAGATGAAACGTGTTATACGAGTTTCATTTTGATAAAAGGGATCTCGTTTTCTTTTTGTTTGTTTGGTTCAACTACTACTCTCGTCTAGCATATCAAAATGATATCAGTCAAACTCGCACAGTTCGTTGTACAAGGCAATATATCAAATAGGGAAAGATAAGTAGTCGCTGCGATATTTTCTAGTCTATGTATGTAGTGTATCGTGCTGTCGAATCAAGCTGTACTATAAGGATCATCCGCGCTACATTTCCGCGAGGTAATGGAGAAAAAGAAATGATACACCGTGATACACCGGACGTTCAGTTCTCGTTAATGTCACGTTGCCGTGAGAGAGCGTGGTAAGCTCTCTGCAATCATACGTAATAACGGTCTAGTCGCGTACGAGAGGTCAATTCTGGTTTTACTTCGTACAGATCGAGTAACTGGGATATTTACAGTTACATGCAATAACTAATGAGGCACAATATACTAAACTATATTTTGTACAATAATATTTTTAAGTCGTTCTACACTTTAAGTCGAACTATATATGTATGTACATATATTACGTATACATGTGTATATATACACACACGTATGTGTATATCATATATATACGTAATATGCCAATAGATTTTTAGAGGGAAACTTTTAGTATTTTATAAGAAAAGATTAATGTGTAGGGGGGCAATTTTGTATGAAGGTAAAACTTATGTGTACACATAAGTCGCTGTTGTGGAATTATACATTCGGGTATAAAGAATGGGTAATAATGGCCTACAAAGGAAAACGTATGCTTGGTAGTATGTAAATCAATTAAAATGAGGTCTTCCATTATTAAAGCAAAAACGTGTGAAAGTATCCTATGATTTGTATAATCTCGCTGTACTTCACATTCTAAGCAATGATAGGAGTATTTCAAAAGCATATAAATATATATGAAATATATATTAATAAATTTATATTACAAAATGGAATTTTGCATCTATATTCAAGATTTATTCTCTGATCGTACTTTTACATATATATATATCTATATATCTAATTTGCAAAGTAATTTTCTTTTTTTTCTGTATTATAATTTGACTAAATGCTAAATCGATGTTAACGCAAAGCAAAGAAAGATCTCTTGAAACGCATCACAGTTTTTATTAATATCACACGTTATTGTTAATTGAAATGTGTTAAAACATACCATTTATACAAGACAGCATTTAATAAATATTACTTCTGAACAATATTAACGATATAATGTATGTTTCGGGTGGTTTCTTACTTTCTATCATTAGCTATTACATTTTACTTCAAAAAGAACTGCTAATGTAACTTCTTTGCTTTATTTATATTCAATACAACGTACCTCTAGTAGTATTCAAACTATCCCTCGATTAAGTTGGCTGTTTAAACTTTAATCCTGAGTTCGATACTTAGTTATCTAAGAAGTAAAAAAAGACATATATAAAAACAATAGATTCTATTTACATATCAGAAGAAGAGACTTCGTAGACGGCGTCCCACGCCTTGCCTATCGTACAGAATATTAAATTTGTTTACAAATTGATTTATATTATTACACCCTTTAGTTATGATACCGAGATACGTCATCAAGCCAAAATCATTACATTGCTGTAAACATAAAAATGGATTAAATTAAAACGACTATTTTGTGGACTTAGATTTTTATAGCAAATATTAATGCATATATTTAATGTATAGATAATGTTTTTATAGCGGTATATACTAACGTTATAAAAGTCAGCCTTAAATTTCGGATTGTTTAGGACAGGCAGTCGATGACTCAAGGAACAAGCCGCTCGAAGAACTTCGTGGTTTCCCTTCAATTCTCCACTTTGCACCGCTTGCACGTATCTTAGAACGAGTTTTACTCTCGCGTGCAACATTTTAATAGCACTGTGCTGCGCCGTCAAGTGTTCAGCCACTGCGTACGCGTGAAATCAGACATTTAATTAATTCTCAGCGTTTATCGACAAAATTTATCCAAATTGCATTGTTACTGTACCCACCCACTGAGCATTCGCCCTGATCGTTGTTGCACATCCTTTGTACGTGATCGACTCCAATTCTCTCGGCCTCCTCTGTGGCTAATGTATAAGTCAACGGGACGAACAACATGGTAGCCTCACCGTTAACTAAGTCGATCACTGATTCGTACATAGAGACGGATAAGTGCTGCAAGCAAACTCCGTCGTTTTTAAATACGTCACCTTTTAGCGTCGTTAAGAAATACATTGCACCCTGAGGCTTTAAAAAAAATATATAAAAAAAAGAATATTTTCTCCCACGTGCCATAGATTTACCTCTGTGTTTTTTGGTCTCGGATCCAGTTTCAATAACACGGGACTTTCATTAATCTCACAAAGCTGCTTGTGCACTCTAATGTCTTTCTCGGTAGGCATGTCGCCGGTGGTGTACCAGCCCAAGAAGTCCATTTCGCTGAATACCTGCTTGAACTGCTCCTCTTTCGTATTATAATAATCCCTATCGATTATGACGTCGTCGCCGATGCAGGTGAAGAGCAGTTCGAAGGAGTTCATAATCTCTATGTTGCGACCCTTCTGCTTACCGATCAGCGCGCCGTAGACTGAAAATATTTCGTATATGCAGAGACAATGCAGAGCGTTAGTTTGTGGATTACAATTGAGCAAGTACGTGACCGAGAGCACTATTGAAACGTTATACGCTTGCACATTAATGGACAGAATTCACACCGTGGCACTTGCACAGTGCTTTGCCACGTAATTTAATTGACAGGTTTGACTACTGCGCCTGCCGTTAGCTATCGAGGAGAGGGTCTCACCCAACTGATCGCTGCCCTCCTGAGCCCTGAGTCTGGTCCAGTGCTCGCTGACGTTCATGATCACCAGTGGATGCAAGCTGATGGACACCGAGCCGACGGTGCCCGAGGAGGCCATGACTTTGACGCTGCCGGACACCCTCGGATTCCTCTCGGAGGTGTCCTCGTCGATCTCCATCGCCGTTTGCTCGCTAGTATTATCCTCAGGCATGTCGACCTCCATGTCGCTTCCCGGTCGTCGTTCACGCTCGCTCGAGTCTTCCGTGGCTTCGCCCGATCCGTGGAAACGGACGCGGAGGCGGCGAGAAAGAAATGGGAGTATATAGGAGATAATCGACGCCAATTGTCCACCAGAACCGCCGAGACGAGAGTCAGTCGTGCGACGATATGCGCGACCCAGCGCGGACGGCCATGACGGCCATCGCGTCGATTCTGTCTCGCCGAGTGAGATAGGTCGAGGTCGAGAAGGAGAGATCGATATCTCGAGGCAAGTCGACCGGTAGAATTTTCAACCTCGAAAGGGATCCCTGCATCTCATGATTTATGATTTGTAAAATAAAGGAAATTTTGTAGAGGCATTTTCTTTAGAGGGACACAATGCCTGTGTCCAGCAGAAGTTAGCGCTTGCTAAGCGCTTTGCGTTCATTGGATTATACTTTCAGATCTGTGCTGAAATAGAGCTATTCTTCTAGATCTATCCAATCAGCATAAAGCGCTTATTAAGCGCTAACTTCTGGAGAACACAGCCAATTTTTCAATCATACCGAGCGCTCGCTCAACAGTTGTGCCTGCTGAAGGCCGGCCAATAGCCACGTTCAGCAGGCACAACTGTTGAGTGAGCGCTCAACGATTTCTTAATATGATTGGCTGGATCTAAAAGTATTAACCAATCATACTGAGCGCTCACTCAACAGTTGTGTCTGCTGAACGCGGCCAATGACTGTGTTCAGCAGAAGTTAGCGCTTGCTAAGCGCTTTGCGCTCATTGGATATTATACTTTCAGATCTGTGCTGAAATAGAGCTATTCTTCTAGATTTATCCAATCAGCATAAAGCGCTTATTAAGCGCTAACTTCTGCTGAACACAGTCAATGGCCGCGTTCAGCAGGCACAACTGTTGAGTGAGCGCTCAATGGCCGCGTTCAGGGCCTATATTCCGTACACGATTACCGACGACCATCGATACGTTAACGACGTTTGCGCAGCATTTTCTACATGATAGAAAAGCTGCGCAAACGTCGTTAACGTATCGATGGTCGTCGGTAATCGTGTACAGAATATAGGCCCAGCAGACACAACTGTTGAGTGAGCGCTCAATGATTTCTTAACGTGATTGGCTGGATCTAAAAGTATTAACCAATCATACTGAGCGCTCACTCAACAGTTGTGTCTGCTGAACGCGGCCATTGATTTCTTAACATGATTGGCTGGATCTGAAAGTATTAACCAATCATACTGAGCGCTCACTCAACAGTTGTGCCTGCTGAACGCGGCCAATGATAGCTTTCGGTTCTTGGAAAAAGAACAGACCCATTTA